TCTAATGACAGGTCAGCTGCGGGGTGTGGCCGGCCCAGGCACAGGGCCACTTCCCAGGGGAGCTCTCTGCACGCTAAGGGGCTTCCCTGGTAGCTCTTGGGCCCTGAGCGTGAAAACTGATCCATGCTGGGTAACTTACACTTTCTCGCCCCTCCTGCCAAGGGCATGGGAAGATCACGGCTGCCTCAAGGGGTGGGTGGGAGGAACAGGTCCCTGGGCCTGCTGCTATTTATTCCTCAGCCCTAAGCCACTGTAGGATGATAAGTGAAGCAGTTGTCGTTGCCTGGCTGGTGTGGGGCGAGGTAATACGTTCCAGGCACCCCTCCCTGGTCACCCCCCTCCACATCCCCCCGCGCTCCCGCACGCAGGCGCTTGTTCGGCTGATGACTAAATAAGGACGAGCTGCAAACCCAGGGCTGCTAAAAATAGAACTCCGCCAAGAGCTCTGCTGACCTTCGGGACCCTTCCCCTACCGGAGTCAGTGACTGCGCGTGTAAACTGGGGCCCGTCGGAACATTGCTCCCCCTCCTCGCGGCCGCACATGCAGCTCCGCAGCCAGAGCAGGCAGCCGGTCGCGCTGGGTCTGATCTGCCAGGGAAGGAGGGAGGCACCTAGGGAAAACTGCATCTCCCCTCCAGTCTCCAGCCCCCCCCCACCCCTTCAGAGAGTGGAGAGGGCAGCGGTGGCTGCACCCGCATCTCCAACAGCTCCTGGGGGTGTTTCTCGGACGCGTGGGGATTAATTCTAAGGTTCAACGCGCTTGCAGATCTGCCGACACCGGCAAAGCGCGGAGCACATTTGTCACTGATCACTATCGGCTGGGTGTCACTTATATTCATTTCTTTCTTCGCCGCATCGTTCTGCATGCTGGGGGCGGGGCAACTATTGAGCAAATAAATGTAAAGTCCCAAAGTGCTGTTTCTTACCCCCTTCCTGAGCTACCCGCCCGGACGATGCTCCATTCCCTTGGAAAGCAGCTAGGACCGTTAAAGGAGAGGATGGGTGTGTGGGTGCTGGGAGTTCCAAGGAGTTCCTCTAAATGTGAGAAATAAACCCCAACATTAGTCGGGCTGGAGCACAGCGAACTTGCATCAGAGACACCCGGGAAGAACTAAGAGTCTCTAGGTGCGTGCATGTCCCATTCTTGTGAGGTTCGTCATTCCAGATCTCCCACCTCCGAAGCTCCCACTCTCCAGCACAGGCAGATTATCTGAAGCCTAGAAATGCACAGCGGGTCCCTAACGGGGTAGGTCCCACAAACAGAGCAGAAGGTGAGAAGGAGGCAGGGACTTCAGGGAATGGCCTTTTCTCCAGCAGGAACACATGTAAGCAGCTGCAAGGAGCAAGGCAGTTAGCCTGGTCTGGTAACCAGCCGGTTCCCCGGCCACTACTCTATTAGTTTACAATGCTGTAGACTGTGTGATCGTGAGGGCTGTGAGCATCTCCATGTGCCCTTCTAACATCCGCACTCTCAGAATGTGTAAGAACTGGACTGGGCTTCAGCTCAGACATCTACGTGGCCATTCCAGTGAGGAAGGACTATTTGGGGAAGCATTTGCAGGATCAGGTGTACAAGCAGCCCCCTGATGCTTCGGTGAAGTACTCGTCTAAAGTATTGTATTTATACCAGGCCTTTGCTTTGCATGGTGATTCATAGAAATGTAGGAAAACGTGGTTCCTGCCCCAAAGAACTTATAATGCAAATGAACAAATGTGGATTATGTTGTTTTCATTGCTGAATTTTCTCTTTTCTTCCTGTAAACTTTCTACTCCTTCACCTGGGTCTCTCTCTTTCTCTCTCTGAAAGTCTTTGTAATTTTTATGACAGACATGTGAACTAGGCGTCGTTGGCTCAAACATTCGTTTGTTGTTGTCACATTCTAGATTTACTTTGTTATCTGCACAACGCAATGTTTTCTCCGGATATAATTTTGCTCTTCAGGAGGCTGCTGGGGCTTTTCTCTTTTTCTTTTCTTTATGTGTGTGAGTTTGTTATTTGTCCTATGAAATGTTTTGCTGATAGAGATAGACCCAATTCCCAACCCCAAACCCAAGCACCCTGAAATTCAGGGATGGTCGAGATCTGCATCCCTATGTGGTGGCTGGAGCCATTTAAAAGGTAAAGAATGGCAGAAAGAGTTACTTTCTTTAGAACTTTATTTAGACTGCAGACACTGATCCACCGGATACGCACACACGCGCTAACCCAAAACCTTAAAACACCTTCCGAAATCTTGCATTTCCGTTGTGGGATCTATTATTATACATTGTGTCAACTGGGGAACTGCGCCTCTCAGGGATCTTCCTGTACCCATCAGGCTGCAGGGAAAAGCATCCCCTGGGTGCAGGACTGGGACGGGCTGGTGATGGTAAAGCCTGGAGTCAGTGACTGGTCACTGCTGAGTATGACTTATGCTGTACAGAGACATGGGCAGTAGCTGCATCCACTGGTGGCATTACATAAGGTGAGTCAACACAGATGTGCTCCTAAGCCTCATTCTGTACAGGCCATGCCGGGCTCGCTGTGTTGGCTGCGACATGCAGTGGCGGAGCTAATGGGGGTGACCTTTAAGTGTATGTGTGGTGCCTTTTCAAGCACATTATGCAATTGAGAAAGAAGGTGTACCGGGGGCTGCAGAGTGAGCCCACCCTGCATGCACCCATCAGCAGTGGCTCAGGTCCTGGCCACGGGGCTGGGCCCAGCTCCCTGCTCCAGGCGTTGTGACATGGTCGCAGCTCCACGATTCGGCCTGGCTGCCTCTCTGTCATGACAGGGGGTGGCTGAGCCAAACCTGAACGGTGCTATGACCCCAGGGGCCAGGTCGCAAAGCCCGGAGTGGGGAGCGGGGCCAAGCCCCGCAGGACGGGAGACATTGCTGCTGGGTGAGTGTGGGGTGGGCTCACTCTCCAGCCCACTCACAATGACCCATTCCCCTCTCCCCCATTTGCCAGACCTGCGTCCGCAGCTGGAGACATGGTGCTGCTGTAGCTTTCGTGGCAATCATACACACTGCGTGGAACGCCCAGGCCTCAGCTCTGTATCTATACATTTCGTCTAGCTGGAGGCCAGTCCGCACTGCAGGGTGACAGAGTCGGTGTGTTGTCTCCAGAGGGATCGGGGGAGAGGCCTTGGAGAGAGGGTAACCACTGCCTTAGCACGGAGAGATTGATTCAACTGCGTGAGCAGGCGCTAGAATGAGGGTGTTTCCCACATCTGAGAGAGACGCAGCTCAGCTGGTTCTGCAGAGCCCTCCACCCATCCCAATGCCAGTATGGATATTACGTTATCAGCATTGCACCAAATTCATCGGCTAAACATACCCCCAGGGAAGACATCACAACCACTTCCCAGACATGACTAAGCCTTTAATAGGTGCCCTGTGTGTCACAATCTACAGTCAGGTAAGACTCTCTCATCCCTTCCACCCATTCCCTGGGCACTTGCATTGCAGCTACCCCCCCGGTTTGTTGCAAGGAAAGATGTTCCATCCCACAGAGCACTTTCTTCTCGCTTTTATGGTAAGGAGAAGGGCCCGAGCCACAAAACATGAGTCTGGATCATGAACCCCTCAAAGTTGGGGGCTGTTTGGATCCCAGGGTTTTGGTTTGGCCCGATATAAAGGCAAAGACAATTGTGTTTGGGTTAAATAACTTCGTGGGCGTTCAGATCCCTGCCCACCTCTCTTACATAAGGTCATGGAGGTGCAGCTAGTCGGAGCCTGTGCTGATTGGCTGACCTTCACCAAGTGCCTTACGCTGCCAATTTTAACCTCCTTGCTGCTGGGCTCTGCTGGACCCCCCGCTCAGAATGAGATAGCCTTGGAGTGCCCGCCTTGACACCACAGTGGCGATGGGCCTGCTGGAATTCTGGACATGCATTTTGCTGTATGTACCTCAAGCACTGAGAAGTTAAAAAAAAATAAAAGCTCCAAACTCTTCAGCACAGAACTGGACTGTCCCCTTCCTGTTGAAATCCTCTCCCGGTTCACACAGATTCTGGGAAACCTGCCTTTTGTATGGATCCTCACCACCTGCCCCTCCCTTTTGCTCCACATCTTCCCTAACTGGTATATTGCTGCCCAGATACTTTGCCTCTGTCTGCACGGAACAAACCCACACAGCTGGGAAAAGTTCTGTGGCCCTTTTGGACAGATCTGGAGGGGTTGGCTAAGGGTTCTAAGCCTCAGGTTTGGAGATACCAACACTCCTCAGGTAGATAAACGGATTAGCTTTTTACACAACACGCTGTTAACCTGTGGAACTCCTGCCACTATATATCATTGACACCAAGAGTTTAGCAGGATTTAAAACAGGATTAGATATTGAGATGACTAACACCATCCATAGTGACATTATATAGGATAAAGCAACCATTAATTGACTGAATGAAGTGATCTGTAGCTCACGAAAGCTTATGCTCTAATAAATTTGTTAGTCTCTAAGGTGCCACAAGTCCCCCTGCTCTTTTTACGGATACAGACTAACACGGCTGCTACTCTGAAACCTGTCATTAATTGACTGGGGCTAGGAAAAATACATCGTATGGGCAGGTGTCCATGATGCGTGTTCCCCTGGAGCATCGGGTACAGGTCCCTGTGAGAGACAGGACACTGGGCTAGGCAGGCCACTGTGAGAGACAGGACACTGGGCTAGGCAGGCCATCGGTCTCGCTCAGTAGGACTGTTCCGGGGAGTCCTGTGTCGTCCGGTATCATTGGCAGGGGCCCTTGTGCCCAGACCAGTGCCGGCACCGTGGCCCTGGTTCCCGTGTGTCTGTCGGTGCCCACCTGCGGTCTCTTGTCTTCTACTTAGATTGCAAACTCTTTGGGGCAGGGACTGCCTGGCGTTGTGGCTACACAGCGCCGAGCGGGGCCCTGGTCCCTGCCTGGGGCTGCTGGAAGCAAGAAGTGAGCCGGTGGTAGGGGAGGCAGGGCAGGCGGACAGGGAGCTGCCTTAGCTCAGCCCTTCTTTGCCAGCAGAGGGCAGGGCCCCTTTCCCTGCATCCATTCCCGGCTGAGCGGCGCCTGCTTCCCCGTCCCAGCGCCCTGCGCCGCCTGCCCGGGGCTGCACCAGACCCACCCGAAAGAGGAAGCGACAGGCGGCTGAGCAGCGAGGAGGCGAGCAGCGGCTGGGGCGAGAACGGCCGAGCCAGCCGCATTCCGCCGCCGCCACCCCCTGCCCGTCCCGCTCCGGCACCCAGACCCCGCCGCAGCCCGGCTGCCTCGGCCTCCGGAGCGGAGCCTCTCCGCCTCCCTTCCCGGCTCCCGCCCGCGGGGCTTCAGCCTGCCCCGGCAGCGATGCTGGCCCTGGTCCTGGCTCTCTGTGCCCTGCAGCTGTGCCCAGCCGTGCGGGGCGGCCGGTGGGGGCAGCCCTTCCTGGTGGAGGGGCCGCCGTCCCGGAGGCTGAGCAAGGTAAGGGGGCTTCACCCCACTGGGGGACGGGTCAGGGGCTCTGGCGTGGGGCAGACGCAGGTTCCTAAGGGCCCATGAGCACTAGCCCACACGTGCCAAGTGCGGGAGCCTGCGAGTGTCCTGACTGCCTGAGGTGGGCTGGCCTGTGTGGACGGAGAGCCGGGCCGGGGAGCGGGGTCCCAGCCCTGGGCAGCAGCCAGAGCGGGAGAGCTGGGTGGCAAATGGTTTTCCTGCCTGGCCAGGATTTTCCAGGTCTCCAAAAAGGGTCCCCTCCTGCATCGGGACCAGGAGCCTAAATCACCAAAGGTTTCACAGACCGAGAGTGGGAGAAAAATTCCCATCAGGTCAGTGGAGACGTCGTGTTTCGATCGTTTCCATGTGTTTCGATTCTGATCTTTGACATAGTTCTTTAATACCTTTTTGGGGCTATAAATTAACTAACCATTTGGAAGGAAAAGTCAAGTGTGGCTTTAATGAAAAGCCCTTTCCAAGAGCCGGCTCTGTATCGTTATTATTTCTGAAGGCCGACGGGGAGCAGGGACTCAGCGTGAGGGGTGGGACTGCATACCCTTGGCAGCATGGGGCTATACTCCCATTCCTGTCCCCAGGAGAGCAGTGGTGCATGCTGGCCTGGATTCCTACGGGCGTAGCACCCTGCTTGCTTGCCCGGCGCGCCCATGTGTGGGAGCAGGGCTGCTTGCCAGCCTGTAACCCGGTGCTGCTAACAATGAGCTCGAATCCCTGTGGCTCTGCACCTTGTGGAGTTGTTTACACCTGTGCCAAGCAGATGTGAATTGCTGCTGTCCTGATGGGGCAGTGCACCGAGCTCCTGTTGCATGGGTACAAGTGATGGCACCAGGTGGGGAATCAGACCCCAAAGGCTTTGCCCTTCTGTGAGCTGGCACTGCCTGTGTCCATGGCCAGAGAGGGTCTCAGTAGTGGTGGTTTGGTGACATGGATGCTTGTCCACCAGGAGCTGGACCAAGGTCCCTCAGCCATACCCGCATACTATGGATAACTGTAGCCTGAGCTGTTCCTAATGGCTGTCCCATTCTTTACCCACCTCCTGGAGTCCGCCTTGCCATTTGGACCATAGCTCAGACATGAAGTAGATTGCAATGTTATTGAATCTGTACAATAACAGCCCTGTGACCGCAAGAGAGCCAGCACAGAGGCCGGGCTCAGGAGCTGCTTTAGCTGGGCCCTGCCCAACTTTCAGTTCTCATTTTGTTCTTTTAAATGTCAGTTCTGCTTTTGCAGCAACCACCTCACCAGCCAAGGTCATGAAAAGTTGGAGCTGGTTCTGTGGGTGTGAGAGATCTCCCCAGAGCCGGAGGCTCTGTCCAAAAACTCAAGGTTAGGCAGATAAGCATGTAACTCTTTGCACAGAGGCTGCAGAACGGACATGGATGCATGAGCTGAGGGGTGCAGCTTGGGAAGGGAGGTGCAGAGATGTGTGTAACCCCCCTTTATGCTCTGCTGATATGGGGCTGTGCTTTGGATTTGTCTCAGCCTGAAATTCGGCAGCTTTAGGCCTGTTCTAAGTGACGCCGGTTGGCAGTGACCCCCAAGGAGCCCAGAAAGGAGCAAGGATTGCTGGGGCTGGCTTGCAGGGTGGAGCGATAGTGTGGAAGAGCTGCTACGCTGGCATTACACCTCATTGATGTGAACCCCCCAGGCCGGCTATGCCAGGGCTAGAGCCACTCCGGGCTGCCAGCATGGCGTGAAGTCACCTGGGTGCAGGGAACAGTCTGGGTTGACAGCTTTCAGTTCGGCCAGATTCAGACAGAGGCGTAGCAGCGCATGGCTCCCTTTCCCGCTCCTGTCTCCCGAGCCATCGTGATCCCCAGCCTTCGAATGCAGGACTTGGAGGTGAAAGGCTCAGTGTCGGTCATGTACCCCTGAGCCTGGCTCTTGCTTTAACTGTTGCCTCCTGTCCCACAGATCCGCTTGCAGCAAGCAGCCAGAGGCCACATGCAAGCTGTAGTAGATAGATGGGAAAGGATGTGGACCCTGGAAAGGGAGTTGGCTAGTGCTGGGCGTTGGTAAGATGAAGCCAGGCTAGTGCAATGGGCATTTTGCTATTGGCTTATGTTAAAGGACTAGGGGCACCAGGTGTGTCTGCTGAAAAGAAGGAGACCTTCATCTCCCCATGGGGTTTCCGAAACGGTGCTCTGCTAAGCCAAATACAGCAAGAGTAAAAGCTGTTATCATTTGGAGCATGCCCAGTAGGGTTCTGAGCCATGTGTGAGCACAGGACGGGGTTTCAGTGTGTGGCAAACCATTATACAAGAGCATCTAGTCCAAAGCAAACATTGAATCGATGCCTGGTTCGCTTTTATACTGAGGCCACTTTCCACCGCCGTGGCAGTGAAAAGGGGCATCCAATGGGAGTAAGTGCCTGGGATTTTAGTGTCCCATTATCTGAGCTATAACTGGTGGAAACAGCATTTCCGTACTTTTCCATATAGCCCCCACCTGTCAGAACAATTACTCTGTGCTCCTTCTGAGCTCACATTGGTCAGTTCAGTACTATCCCCTCCCAGGGAGCTGGGCTTGTTTTAGTTATCCAGGAGGACAAAACCTTGTCTCTTGCTTGTTCAGACGTGTGTTTGCACTCAAACTAAGTAAACGGCTTTAGTGATAAAGTTTCAGACTGGACCTGGGCTTTTGTCCCTTCTCGGGGACATGTGCCTTTGATATGGCTGGAGAAATGTTATTTAGAAGTAGCAGAGTTATCCATGACTCAGACTTAGGCACTCTGAGTCGGCAGCACAAGATGTTCCATGGAAATGCTAAGCAGCCCATGATCTGGGTGGCCGTACACCTGTGACTGCCAGAACCTGGGCCTGAATGGCTGGAGATGGACCACTTAATAATTGCCCCATTCTGTTCATTCCCTCTGACGCATCTGGCACCAGCCACGGTCAGAAGATAGGATACTGGCCTAGACTGACCATTGGTTTGACCCAGTGTGGCCATTCTTATGTTCTTATATTGGAGGTGTGAATCTATAGAAATACACCCACTCCAGCAGAATGCCACATGCTGAAATTTACTAGGACTCGACAGAGGTGAGCTACTGGGACAAGTTCTCCTCTTGGTGACATGTTGGCAATCCCACTGACAGTAGTGGGATGGCACCGACGGTAAATCAGAGGGGTTGCCCCCACAGAACCAGTCTGTCCCATTACGGGAGCAAGGTATGCTGGTGAGTCCAGGTGAGGGGATGCCCAATGCAGCTGTTGTTGCCTCTGCTGTAGCTGCCTGTGGATAAATAGACGTTGGTTTCGAATGGTTTGTCTACACATACAAGTTGCACTGGTTTGAATTAAATTGGTTTTAATTTGATTTAGCCCCAGTCGTGCACACAAAGTTGTGTTGGTTTGAACTGGAGGTGTGACTTTATACCAGTTGAGTTAAACCAGTGCAGTTTTGTGCATGGATGCTCTTATACCATCTTAAATCTGCCTTATATTGGTGTAATTTGTGTTGGTAAATTTACAGGTACAAGCTGAACTGATCGAACCAGTTTTAAACTAATATAAGAGTCTGTGCACAAAAGTTGGTGCATTGGTGTAACAAAACTGATTTAAGTGATACTGGTACGTCTGTGTGTAGATAAACCCGTACGGCAAACCACTGTAGATACTCTTCTGGTGGTTTAGCTTGCACCTGTTAATTTACTGACACCAGCTAACCTGGTATTAAACCAGATTTAAATCAGTTTAAGACTGTCCACACACAAAACTGCACTGGTTTAACTAAATCAGTATGAAACCACACCTTCAATTACACTGGTGCTACTGTGTGTGTAGACTAGGCCATACATACTCAGTTCAGAACCTGTTAATAAAACAAGCCCTCTGAGTTTCAGAGTCTAGTGTTTGTTGCTGACGTCACTGGCAAATGTGCTATTTCTAGACACATGTTAAATCTGGGAGATGCACGTTTTTCAAGCATTATTAAGCATTATTCAAGAGGAAGCTTGGAAATGCCAGATAGAGGCGCATGTGCTGGGCTCAAATGTATTAAAAGACTTTATAATTATTGCCTGAGGTGGAGAGTTTCTAAAATGCCTGATGGATTTAGGATCCCAGAAGCAATAGCATTTGTGCTCCTAAATCCCTTGGGAGCTTTTGAAAATCTCTCCTGAAATGTTAGTACAGTGTTACTATTTCTTCAGCCTTTGACTGCATGCTTTTAAAGCTCCTTTCCCCTCGTGAATGTCATCAGTAAGTGTGTGTGTGTGAAATGGATGGAGTTCTCTGCCCCCACAATAGAATTCTGAGGGGCTGTCACACTCCAGAACTCTGAAGTGCAGCTGCCGTCTCTCCTGCTGTGAAGGGCTGGAGGGGACTCCTTTCAGAGCCCCTCACGAACCCACTGGAGCACCTTCCCTCCTGCGGCAGCCTATGGTGTTTCTGGGGAACATGACAACTGAGTCTCCTTGGCATGCCAGCTCAGAGTGCTGCTCCCAGGCCAGCCAGCCCAGCTGAGTGCAGAGACTGTTTAACCCTTTCCTTCTCTGAATCCTGTAGGTTGGTGGCTTCTCCTGGGAGAACTGTGGCAATGGGACCGATCCCTTTGTGATTAAGAGTCTGTCCGTAACCCCGGACCCGATCCACATCCCCGGGGACCTGAAAGTCAGCGTGGCGGTTTCCAATGGTGTTGACATCGTCTCACCTCTGAAGGTATGTGAAAAGGGCAAGACCGCCAGAGAGGCCTGTTCAGACACAGGATCTGTCCATTAACGTGCTGTGGAGTGTTGGGAAAGAACGTGCCAAAAGCAACCATAACACCTGTCCCCGGTGGCCTTTCAATTCTCCGCAATGCCCAAGAGGTGTGAATAAACGGGGATTGTAGACCTGGGGCGGGTTTCCGGCCCCAGACCTTCCACTGCTGCAGTCAGTTTCCAGGGCCCAGAGTTTCTTATTCCTAGCAATATTTGCTGCTGGGGGACCGAAGGCTGGCTTGGTCTGTGCACGGTCTGTCTGTTGAGCTGCAGCTTTTTACTAAAATGGATCAGTGCAACCCCTAGGATGGATGCAGTTACAGCGGCAGAAAGATGCTCGTACCACAATAGCTATTCCCCTTCCCTTCAGGAAAGTTAAAGCAGCCCATTTATTTGTGTGGAGTCACTCCCTTGTGACTTCCCAGCCCCTCTCCGCACCCCCTGGGCCCAGCCTGGGAAGTGGAACTAGGTAAGATCCAAGCTGCTCCCACCTCCTGCTCCCTGGAGCAACCTGGCGGTGTCTGTGTTAGGCTGGGGTGATGAATGAGTCTTGGACTCGCCGCTGAGGGAACGCAGCCAAGTCTGAGGAAGGCGGGCACCGAAACTGCCGCGGCCTGATTGGCAAATCCTGGACACCCACAGATCCCAGCGAAGCCAGCGGGAGCTGCTGAGCGCTCAGCACCTTTGAGAATAAGGGTTTTAGATGTGGAGAGCTCCAATGGGGGCTGTTTCCTTGATCTTTCCTCGCCCAGGTGGGGAACGATTTCACCGAGCTAAAGGCCACAAAGGGGTGTTCAGAGAAAGAAAGGAATGAGGCAACATGGGGAGGGAGAGAGAGGGAGGGAACACAGAAGCAATGAGAAGGGGGATGCGGGGGGGGAGCAGAGAGATGGGAGACCCTGTTTGGGGGAGTCAGATTAAGGTCAGGAGGAGGGGAAGAGACAAGGGGAAACCTTCATTGGAAGATGAAGTGAGAGAAGAGGAAGGGGCGGGGGAGGGATAGGACTCCAGGAGATGCGGAGAGGCAGGTGGGAGATACTTCTCTACCAGGCAACCTTCCCCCCCCGCCCGCCCGCCCGCCCCAGAACATGGGACATGGGGAGAAGACCTATTATCCACCCCCAACTGCCAGGCTAGGCTCCTGATTGCGGAGACGCCGATAACGAACATAATCACTTCCTTAAAGCTCCTCCCCATGTGCACAGCACCCACTGCAGCTGGGAGGCTGGGGGCCTCCTGAGCCCACACGCCTTCCTGGGACCCACGGCAGAGGGTCTGGCCTTTAGAGATTAGTGACACGCACCGCCCAGGCAGCAAACACGGCTGAGAGGTGGGCATTGCAGGGCGTCTGCCCCTTGCAGGGGGCGGGATTGCTATGGCGAAGGGCTGCTGGTGGCAAGGGCTGAAAGTGGAAGGGCTGCTGGTGGCAAGGGCTGAAAGTGGAAGGGCTGCTAGTGGCAAGGGCTGAAAGTGGAAGGGCAGCTGGTGGCAAGTTCCCCAACCATGCAAGCTGGATCATATGATGGTGTGGGCGGCAAGGGGCGGCAGGCCTTGCTACAGGGCTCCCTTCCCATCAGTGACACTGTGAGCCCCGGCCCACCCTTCTTCCGTGTCAGTGTGGCGGGCGAGGGCTTGGCTAGATGAAGGCAGTTACACCTGCTGTGCTCTGGGCCCTGATCTGCAGGGGCAGGACTCTCCCATCCGGTCTCTGATGCAGGGTGTTAACCAGCAGGCAGCCCCGCCTGCAGAGCCAGTGCTGACGGGGCGATGTTATGATCATTTCCCAAGAGTGTGCGTAGCGAGTGATAGCAGGCCTGATTCTCCCCTGCCCTTGACATCTGGGCACGATCACTGCCAGCGCTGGGCTGAGTCAGTGGGAATTCCCCTTTGCTAGCATGGCACACCCAACTACCTCTGGCATAAACGAGGACGCGGGGTGTGACGCTGCTGTGGCCCTGTCCTGGCTGCAGCCGGCAGAGGGACGACTGCTGGGATTCACTGGGGATGCTAGGGCAGGACGAAACCAGGGCCAACTCAAGGCCACAGCTGCAATTGCAGAAGTTACAGAAGAACTAGCCCGCCTTTCACCCCTGTTTACCAAGTGCCTCCTGTCCCTCAGCGGAGCAGCTGCAACGGTAACAAACACCCAGCAAGGCGAAAGGGGAATTGCTGCCCAGGACGGTACATTTCTGTTCCGCTTCTTTTATTTAGTGGTATGTGGCTCTGGATCAACTTTCTGCAGCTCCTTGTGGTGTTTTAGCACGCTGCTGCTCATGCCAAAGAATCAGAGCGGGTCAAATTCTGCCCTGGAGTTTGGAGGGAGCTGTGTGCCGGCATCTCCAAGGGCAAGACTTTGCAGCCTTTACTGCTGTTCCCAGTGCTGTTATTTCATGTTTGTGTTGTGGTAATGCTTGGAAGTTGTCTAGATCGATGTCCTGCTGTGTTAGGGGCTCTGCAGAGAGATAGTGAGGGTTTACAATCTAGGTAAAGTCATGTGTTTTTTCGGGAACAGAATTAAAGAGGAAGATGGGTCTCCGTTGAGCTGTTCTGAATAGGAAACCTACAGCCCAGTGATGGCTTTCTCAGGTGTTGTTGATCCTAAATGTCTCTTGCATTGTGCCCTAAGTACTCAGCACTTTGCAGACACAGGGCTGGTTTCCGATCTGTCAGTCTGGAGTAGCACCAGTTCCTTCAGTTTAGGAAGGTGCATTTCCTGCCTGGAAGAGCTTACAGTCTAAAACCACCAAGAGAAACCAAGACATGGGCCGATTGGTCAGGAAAGCTGGTGTATGGTAAGGTTACAGAGGAAGGCTTCCTGGAGGAGGGGAAGGTTGGAGGGGAGACCGTACCAGCTGGGATTCTCTGGTATGTGAAGTGTGCAATCCTTTGTCCCAGGCGGTGTTTACCGTGGAAAAGAAGGTAGTTGACATATGGATAAAGGTCCCCTGTCTGGACGAGATCGGGAGCTGCACGTACAATGGCCTTTGCGGAATCCTGGACAACGTCATCCCCCCCGGAACTCCATGCCCCGAGCCCCTGCTCAGCTATGGCATCCCCTGTCACTGCCCCTTCAAACAGGTAAGTGCTAAGCCAGCTGTTCTCCTCATGTTCCTTGTCAGGACCCCTGCTTCCCGTCTAGCCAAGAGTCAGCAGGGAACCTCCTGTCACATAGTGACATGGAAAGGGCAGGGTGGTCACAACCCCTAAGTCCAGGACCCCTGCTCAGCATGGCAGCCCTCCTCTCCCCTTGCCCTCTCAGTCAGCTGTCTGTGTGCTGGGGAAGGGGCTTTGTGAGCACTTGGAGGAGAGAGAATAGAAACCGGCTGCTGAGAGAAGGGGTAGTTAGAGGGCATCCTGTCTGTTGACTGGATTCAGCATTGCCTTGCAGCCCGTGGGTCAGGTCAGAGGAACTGGCCGTTGTTGGAGACCGGGTCCTGAACTAGATGGACCTGTTCTGATCTGCTCTGACCCAATCTGAAGCACCCACTTTGCACACACGGTGCAAGGCAGTGGGGAATCAGGCAGAGTCTGGGTCCAGCAGGCCCACGCCAGGGAGGTCTGGGGCTTTGCCTCCCCATCCCTGGGGGCATTCTGTAGCCGTTGTGGGTCAGCAGCGCAGGAAGGCCCCCGGCGTTGTGGGCTAGGCTGGGGGCGAGGGAGTCCCTGAGGACTGTCTCAGTCGCTGTGTGATCACTGGATCTTCTTGTGCTTCGACTGGCCTAAGAAGGATGGTTCCAGACGGATTTGATTGGGTGTCAGCTCACTTTGATCGCTGCTGCCACCTGGGGGTTCCTTGTAACGTTGCTGGGAAACGCTGCCCCAAAGGTAGCTGGACTCGGTCCGGCCTGGGAAAATCTCCCTGATCAGGGGCAGGGAGTAACTTGCCTGCAGTGGTGAAGCTGGCTGGAATGGAGAAAGTCACCTTCCAGACACTGCCAGAGCCAGTCGTACTGAGCTCGCCCGGACCGTGGAAAGGGGGCCCGGGAATACAGGCAGAAACCCACAGATGCAGAGGTCTCTGCACCAGGCAGGTGGCTGAGAAGCAGAGAGGCTGAGCTGGAAATCACTGGGCGGTGGGCTGCAGGGCGCCCCCGGGAATGGGTGGGCAGCAAAAGGCACCACTGGGGGAGTAATTAGTGATGAGTAATTATGGATATTCGAACATGCTTGATTTGTTCATCTTGATCATGACTGAGACTCCACAAGAGGTGCAGGGCAGGGAGCGGATGGGGGTAGAATCCGAAAGCTTGGTGGAGTCGCCCCTCAGTGGGCTTGTACTTTGGGGCAGGGGAAGCCAGTGGTGGGGTGAGGCAGGAGCTTCTGTGTGCTAACGTTTTGGCATCTGTTTCCCTCCTTAGGGCTCCTACTCCCTGCCAGCCAGCGAGTTCTACTTGCCTGTCATACAGCTGCCCTCCTGGCTGACTAATGGCGACTACCGCGTCCAGGTTGTCCTGAGCAACGGTGCCAAGCAGCTCGCCTGTGTCAAGGTGGCCTTGTCCCTCCACTCTGAGTGAGGCTGGCCAGCCCTGCCCGACCACAAGCCCGCCCCGCGCTGAGACACACGCTGGAGCCGGTTGACAGCTCTCTTCCTCCTTTTGCTGCCTCTTGCTGCCGTCTGCCCTCACACAGCTGCTGCTTCCCCTTTCCCGCCTCTCTTTGCCCTCTTCCCTCTCAGAAAAGGGGCCAATGGAAGGGGGGATGGCGCGGGAGAGAGGCCTTTGTCTTCTGTGCAGGGTGGACTTAGAGGTGGGCAAGGTTGGCAAATGGGTTGGGTCCCTCCTGATCCTGATTCAAAGCCTGTTGAAGTCAATAGGAGCCTTTCCAAGGGCTCCGGCCCCTAGTGAGGAGACTTAGAATCATAGAATCACAGAATATCAGGGTTGGAAGGGACCTCAGGAGGTCATCTAGTCCAACCTCCTGCTCAAAGCAGGACCAATTCTCAATTAAATCATGAGATTAAAGACTTGAGAGAGTCTTCATCACAGTCCCTACAATTGCAGCCCCACTTGTTGCATTTCCCAGTGGGGCTTTGATCCCTTCCCTCCACCCCTGTCCATGCTGTTCTGTAGAGCAGCGTCCCTCTCCTGGTCCAGGTCAGCTGTGCACCATTCCCCATGCCAGCTTTGGGCTGATCCACTGAAGTCAATAGAAACCCTCCTCCCAGCCCCTGTTGATTTCAGGCCCGTATGGATCAGGCCCATAGGGAGGCACATGGCACTAAACAGAACTTCCCATCGCAGTTGCTGGTTGATTCCCAGCTGCGCTTTGCTGGGGAACGCCCTGCACTGCAGCGCAATGTGCTGGATGGCCATATGGGTCTCTTCTGCCAGACTTCTCTGATCCTAGGAAATATCAGGTTAAACTGCTGGCTCAGGTCTAATGCCGAGTCTTTCTCATCATATGCTAGTGGTGGCTCTAGCTTTCAGGAGCTCCGTTCCAGGCCAGAATGTCCCCCATGCACTCTCTCACCTTGAGAGAGTTGTATCGCTGTGCTACAAGCCAGCCTTATGGAGGGGGGTCTAGTTTGATTATTTTCCCACATATGTAATGAAATTGCATTCTTCATGTTGCTTAACGCTCCCTTCTCCCCCCCTCCAGTCAGTAACAGTGGGAGGGCCCGTTAGCCCTCCAGCTGACTGGCTTAAAACAAAATGGGGTGTCACAATATTCCACACGTTGAGTGTCCTAGTTAACCTTGACCATCCTAGGGGTTTTTGCCATCTGTTGGCTAGGGCGTGGGGCTGTTTTTGTTTGTCTGGGTTTTTTAAAAATATCACACAGGGAATTTTAGAAAAAAAAATTGAAAGAAGAAAGCAGAAATAAATAGTTCTTTTAAACAATCAGTTGGAAAAAGGAAAAGAGAGGCTTAGAGCTGGCCGCCCCTCTCTGCAATGTGGGGTTCGACTGCTGGTCAGGAGTGCCGTCTTATATACTTTGAGGGTGTAAGCCCCCTCCAGGAAGGTGCGCCCCGACACTTGAGAGGAGAGATGCACGCGCAGGTAGACTGATACGTTCATTCTTACTGGCCACTGCTGGAGACAGGATACTGGGCTAGATGGACCATGGTCTATCTTGGGGTGGCACTTCTTATGTTTCTGAGTCAACCTGGGCAGTAGCAGCAGGAGACCTGTCAACAGTAAGAGCTGTCCAGCTAGCACTGAATTCTCTGACAACAAATAAGCTTCCTAAACGGGACCACGCTGGACCAGATCCATTCCGAAGAAGCCATTGCTTATGGTAATGTAAGGAGAGCCAGGAGGGTGGGCATTGCCAGCCAAAGAGGCAGATCTTCAACAGCATGGACATTATCTCTCTCCCATGTCTGCATTAAAAAATTAAAAGAGGGATAGAACAAGAAAACAATGTACTCATTCTCACTACCAGAGGACCAAATGACTCATTCTGCTCTGGGCTTCTGTTACTCTAAAAAGGATGTGGTTGTCACAGCTTGAACCAAAGGAACAATTTGGTTGGCTGGTGAGGATTCCAAGCAGTGTAATTACGAAACTGAAAATCACCCGACTGTGAACTTCCCGACCACAGTGTTAAAGTGACCATTTCATAAATGTGCTAACCCATGGTGAGGCAGGCCGTCACACTGCCATATCCTGGGCAGAGGAACAAATGAATTTAGAACCTCGTGAGTTTGCAGCCACCATATTTAGCAGCTACAGCAAAGGAATGGTGCAACTCAAAATGTGCTGATCAGACTCTTTCTACAGGACGTGGTTCAAGGACGTTCGTCGGTCTTGACAGGCTTTAGGGAGAAGAGTCTCTGTTTGGCATAAATTGTTGTAGCTCAGGATGTGGCCCTGGAAATAGAGAGTCGGGACCCTAATCCGGTGTACCGTGAGCTGTTGATTTGTTCACTTTGGGTGCGATTCTGCACCGTTAATGGGAGCTTTGCCATTGATTTCAATGGGTATAGGATCAAATTGCTTGGGTGGTGTTTTTTCAGCACTGTAAGTCCCTGCCTCCCAATTCACATACTGGGCTGTCATTGCACCTGCAGATCCAGTTCAGTGCAGCTAACCCTAAGATGTGTGTAGAATACATAACCCAATCACTGCACACCCCGTCCCGTATTAGTGCACTGGAGCTATATGTATACAATCATCAGAGAGGTAGCTGTGTTAGTCTATATCCACAGAAACAATGAGGAGTCCGGTGGCACCTTAAAGACTAACACATTTATTTGGGCATAAGCTTTTGTGGGTAGAAAACCCCACTTCTTCAGATGTATGGAGAACTTCTTCCAGGCATCTGAAGAAGTGGGTTTTTTACCCACGAAAGCTTATGCCCAAATAAATCTGTTAAGTCTTTAAGGTGCCACCGGACTCCTCGTTGTTTTTATGTATACAACTGTCGCTGTGTTAGCGCACCTGAGGTGTGAGTGGATTCACACCATCACTGCACACCTGCTATTGCAGCTGAGGTGCATGTGTGTGCCATGCAATCCCTACCTTGTACCCTGTATTGTTACCATCGATTTGTGTGGATAAGACACTCTCACTGCACGCCCTGTATTATTTTGTGCAAGACAGGTGTATATGACCTCATCAGTGCACACCTGTCCTGTGCTGTTGCGGTACATCACCACGTCCTCTGTCTTCCATTACTACCCTCTGAGCGTGCACATGTGACAGCCATTGCTCACTCTGCTCTGTATTACATCTGTGATGCATGTGTATGACACCCTAATAATACTACTTAGCAGCTGTATAGGGCAGATCTTCAAAGCACTTTAGAAGCCTTAACTACTGAATGCCCGCAGTCCATGGACTGGTGTGATAGTGATTAGCATTGGGCTAACGCACAATGTTTTGCACAGTCTGTGTGCCCATGACAGGTTTAAGAGACAAAGGCCTTTGGTCACCTTTCTCCTTCCTAAATTTGCTACGCTTTATAGCGACATCCTAACCGACAGTGGGTTTTGCTCTGCTCTGTTCTGTGTGGAGAAGCACTAACTGTCCTGCCGATTCCTGCATCCTTACTGCTTAGCTGAAGCCTGCTGGTTTCTTGGGAGGCAGCGGCCCTTAGTGCTGGGGCCACAACGAGTGCTTAATAAATCTTTTTAACTGGAGGGTTGAGTCCTTCGCAGTGGTTCTTGGCCTGTCGGTAACTTTGGAACCTGTGATTTTCTTTATTTTAAATGTAAATGAAAATCTGGTGAGTTGGTTTGTTGCCCGTGATGGTCTGACAGCACTGGCTGGAGCGAGTGATAGTGGATTCCCCAGCTGGTCTGAGCTCCTATCCCAGGGGTGGGCAAACGACGGCCCAGAGGCTGCATCTGGCCCCCCAGATGTTTTACTCTGGCCCTCGAGCTCCCGCCGGGGAGCAGAGTCTGGGGTGTTCCCCTCTCCAGTCAGGAAGTGGGGTCTGGGCGTTGCCTCACTCTGCATGGCTCCCGGAAGCAGCGGCATGTCCCCCCTCTGGCTCCTATGCGTAGGGGTAGCCAGGGGGCTCTGCACGCTGCCTCCGCCCCAAGCGCTGCCCCTGCAGCGTCCATTGGCTGTGCAGGCATTGCACAGAGCTGCCTGACCGCACCTCTGCGTAGGAGCTGGAGGGGGGACATGCTGCTGCTTCTGGGAGGTGCTTGAGGTAAACGCTGCCCAGAACCTGCACCCCTGACCCGCTCCCGCGCCCCAGCCTCCTGCCCCAGCCCTGATCCCGCTCCCACCCTCCAAACCCCTCAGCCTGGAGCACCCTCCTGAACCCTGAACCCCTCACCCCAGCCCCACCCCAGAGCCCTCACCCCCTCCCGCACCCTAACCCCCAATTTTGTGAGCATACATGGCCCACCATACAATTTCCATACCCAGATGTGGCCCTCAGGCCAAAAAGTTTGCCCACCCGTCCTATCCCAGGCTGCTGTCAGTGCATCTGACGCTGAACCTGCAGCGTTCCCTCGGCCTGGGCACTCACACAGCTGTATCAAAGGATCTCAGTAAAGAGGTGCAAAATCCCCCTCTTAATACATTGCTGGGCTTGGAAGGGCCCTGCATGTCAGGCAATTTGCATTTATCAGACTGCCTGGAGGAATTTTCCCCCAGCTTCCCCGTATGTGGGCAGCAGTGGCAAGCATTTCCCAGCAGCTACTCTCACTAGATATTTCCCAGACCACTATGCCCCAGGGTCGTTGCTCCACGGACTCTCCGATTCAGATGTCACTTCATGCAACTCTGAAGTGCTCATGCAATGCTCTGACCAGCATTGCCCAGAACATGCCAGGCTGCCCTGTGCATGCTTTCCTCCCCATAATCCATCACTGGTATTGCTTAGACACAGGCCCCAGCCTATCCCTGGTGCATGCTTCCCCCCTCTGGCCCCGCGAGCGGTGCACGCTCCTTTCTCTGAGTCCTTGACAGTGAAACATGCCCAGTGTAGTGGTGGCTTTTGTTACACCCACGTGAGCGCTGAGGTGACAGAGCATCACATTTATGTGAGAGGCTGACGCAGGATTTGTAAGGCCAGGCCGCTAAACCTGCAGCGCCTGGAAACATCCCTGATGTTGTCAGCGGGCATTTCTCCTCCTGGGTTCTGACTCCATGCTGCACCCGGATCTGCTTCCCCACGGTGGGGGTGGGTGGGGTTTGGGGGCAGCATCACCAACTCTTGACTCTGTGGGGCCAGGTCCTGGAGTCCCACCAACGCTCCACGGGATCTCAGCTTTTCCTTGCCAAACAAAGGCTGCTTCTCAACCCCCCTACCCCTGGGTGTGGGGAAAATCTTGGAACGGGGAAGCCTGGAGGTTGCCAAACCCCAGCGGGCAACGACCCAGAACTGCAAAGCGATGAACCCGGGCCCCGAGCAGCCGGTCTGCTGACGGGCTGAGGCCTGACTGTTCCTTGCGGGCGTGGGGAGGCCATGTGGGCCTGGGTGCCTTTCCTACAGGTGCCTTTCCCACTGACTGCAGGGAGGGCTGGGTTAGGGGCCAGGCCGGGGAGCAGCCCCCCAGCACCGGCCCGGCCAGGGAGCCCCCCTGCAAGCACCCCCCAAGCAGGGGAACCAGCAGAGGGAGCCCTGAGCCGGCCCAGCAGCGTGCAGCAGCCTGGAGCGGGCCTGGGCTCTGCCCCTGCACCCCTCGCGCGGCTGGGTCCAGCCCTGCTTGCTCGGCCTGCGCAGCGCCAGCTCCGGCCGCCAGGGGGCGCAGCAACACCGCCCCCCCTCCCGACTCCTCCGCCGCCGCCCCTACTGCGCACGCGCAGGCTGGAGACGCCGGGCGAGGGAGTCGGCTGAGCCGGGCGTCACGTGACTGGGCGTCGGGTGACCGGCAGCCGGAAAAGCAAGATGGAGGGGCGGGGCCGGTGAGCCCCGGGCAGCTGCCGGTGAGCGCCGAGCTGGGGGCGCGTGGCCGGTGGGGGGGGGTATGTGCACGTGCACGGGGGGCATTGCCCGGGGGCCCCTGCATGGGGGGCATTGCCCGGTAGGGGGTATGTGAATGGGGGGGCATTGCCCGGTAGGGGGTATGTGAATGGGGGGGCATTGCCCGGGGACTGGGGGCCCCTGCATGGGGGGCATTGCCCGGTACGGGGTATGTGAATGGGGGGGGCATTGCCCGGTAGGGGGTATGTGAATGGGGGGGGCATTGCCCGGGGACTGGGGCCCCTGCATGGGGGCATTGCCCGGTACGGGGTATGTGAATGGGGGGCATTGCCCGGGGACTGGGGGGCCCTGCATGGGGGGATTGCCCGGTACGGGGTATGTGAATGGGGGGATTGCCCGGTAGGGGGTATGTGAATGGGGGGCATTGCCCGGGGACTGGGGGCCCCTGCATGGGGGCATTGCCCGGTACGGGGTATGTGAATGGGGGGCTTTGCCCGGGGACTGGGGCCCCTGCATGGGGGCATTGCCCGGTAGGGGGTATGTGAATGGGGGGGCATTGCCCGGGGACTGGGGCCCCTGCATGGGGGCATTGCCCGGTATGGGGTATGTGAATGGGGGGGCATTGCCCGGGGACTGGGGGCCCCTGCATGGGGGGCATTGCCCGGTAGGGGGTATGTGAATGGGGGGCATTGCCCGGGGACTGGGGCCCCTGCATGGGGGGCATTGCCCGGTAGGGGGTATGTGAATGGGGGGGCATTGCCCGGGGACTGGGGGCCCCTGCATGGGGGGCATTGCCCGGTAGTGGGTATGTGAATGGGGGGGGCATTGCCCGGTAGTGGGTATGTGAATGGGGGGGGCATTGCCCGGTAGGGGGTATGTGAATGGGGGGGCATTGCCCGGGGACTGGGGGCCCCTGCATGGGGGGCATTGCCCGGTACGGGGTATGTGAATGGGGGGGGCTTTGCCTGGGGACTGGGGGCCCCTGCATGGGGGGCATTGCCCGGTAGGGGGTATGTGAATGGGGGGGCATTGCCCGGGGACTGGGGCCCCTGCATGGGGGGCATTGCCCGGTAGGGGGTATGTGAATGGGGGGACATTGCCCGGGGGACTGGGGCCCCTGCATGGGGGGCATTGCCCGGTATGGGGTATGTGAATGGGGGGGCATTGCCCGGGGACTGGGGGCCCCTGCATGGGGGGCATTGCCCGGTATGGGGTATGTGAATGGGGGGGCATTGCCCGGGGACTGGGGCCCCTGCATGGGGGGCATTGCCCGGTAGAGGGTATGTGAATGGGGGGGGCATTGCCCGGGGACTGGGGGCCCCTGCATGGGGGGCATTGCCCGGTAGGGGGTATGTGAATGGGGGGCATTGCCCGGTACGGGGTATGTGAATGGGGGGGCATTGCCCGGGGACTGGGGGCCCCTGCATGGGGGGCATTGCCCGGTACGGGGTATGTGAATGGGGGGGGCATTGCCCGGTACGGGGTATGTGAATGGGGGGGGCATTGCCCGGGGACTGGGGGTGCCTGCATGGGGGGCATTGCCCTGGGGGGTGTAAATGGAGGGCGCATTGCCTGGTGGGGAGAGGGGTGTGTGTGTGTGGGGGGCATTGCCCTGGGGGGATGGGTATGGATGCCTGTCTGGGGGCTGGAGCTCTCTGCAGTGTTAGTTGTATGGAGGGGCTAGCAGGTGTCTGTATGCCCCGGGGCGGGGGCAGAAGCTGCGTTGGGGATTTAAAGCCCAGGGGTATCCACCTCCAGGGTGGGGGTAAATCTGGAGCTGCAGGCGCATGCAGCAAAACGGGCGCAATGAGTTCGGGGTGGGGGGGAGTTGTATTGTGCAAGGGGAGGATTATGTTGGGGGAAGTGTGAACCAGGTGGCATGTGCCCAGCATAGAGGCTGTTTTTAGTAGTGCCAGTTAAAGCTGACCATACACCTCGGTGACCCATGTCTATGGTGTATGGTGGGAGGGGGAGCAAGGGTAAGTAGTGGGAATGTCTGTTAGCGGGAGTTGCACTAAGTGTCATCTGTCCTGAAGATGCTGTGGAGCAATGAGAAGTGGGGTCATGTGTGTCAGGCAGGGGCAAAAAAACTACCTAACAGTCAGAGCGGCTACAGGGAAATGTTTGTCAGTGCCTCAGTGCCACCCACATGTGGGCAAGCTGGAGTCATGAGGGCAGTTTACTTGTCCTCCCCAGGAATTTTGTATTTAGCAATGTGGAGAGGCATTCAGAGCGCTGGTGCTGCTCGTCATCTCTGCAGGCATTGGAAAGTAAGAGTAAATGAATACTGGCAGAAAAGAGCCCTGACATCTGACACAAAGCTCAAATTGTGAGGGTCTTTCCGGAGGTCTGAACATCACCTTACTTTTGAAAGGAATAGCAGCACCCCAACCTTTCATCTCCAAACCAGACAAGGAGGAAACCCGTAATAATGGTGGAAATGGCTCCTCCACCCCAATTCGGGAGGTAGAATCCTGATCTCAAAGGGCTAGACTCTGCAGATGCTTACACACACGCTTATCTTTAGGCACTTGGTAGCCCCAGTGACTTCAGTGGGGCTTTCTTGGGTAAACTCGTCTTCGTGGTCAGAGGAGGGACTGAGTGTTCTTGTCTCGACTCTCTGTAAATGATGAGGAAATAACTAGGTGGGTTTTGCTTTTGGCTGAGAATGTTCTCTGCATGGATGAGACTGAAACCCTCTTTCTCCCCTCAGTACTTTTCCAAGCCCTGTTTTAGTGGTTCTCCTTCTTGCTGATTGTGTGGAAAATGACCACTTGTGCTTTCTGCTATTGTGCAATCTTTAATCCAGAAAGGAAGATGTCAAGTCACGATGGGCAGATCTGCCTGGGTTTCAAAAGAGAAGAGCAGTTAGGTGTGCTCTCGGAAAATTCGAGGGAGGAATTGAGTGCTGACTGGAGAGAATATAACATAACTATGTTGTTTCTTGTATAGAGAACATCACTGATGTGAGCCTCAAATAGCATGTCAGGCTCCTGCTCCACTAATGGTTTGTTTCTAGATGCACCATGCAGAGTAGGTGGAGCAGCTGGTTGCTGTGTAATTACAGTCAGATTGCTTTGTTGGAAGAGTTTCTCTTTGATCCCCAGGCTGACAATTGCCTTTAGTGTTCACAGTACATACATCAACAATTCACTCTCCACTGCCATTTACATCTTCCTGCTCTGAGAGTGAGGAGGATGCTGCTTGTAAAAATATCACCAATTGTTTTGGGGGGCATGGGTAGAATTTGGAAGTGAATCTGCCAGAAAGCTGGGGGTGGGATCGATCTGCATTACTGACTGGAGTTGAGATTATGCTAATTGCCTTTTGGGCAGGACCCCATTTTAATGGCTTGTCGGAAGCCGAGCTACGCATGAAGGAGATTGCTCGTTGCTCTTGTATTGGGCACCTGTTTTTCGCTCACTTCCTTCTTTCTAGGCGGGGCAGGTAATTATTTGGGTTAGGGATGGTGGGGTCTGGCGCAAGCCTGCATCTTCCCAAAGGCTTCACTTTCTCTCTCCAGTTATCTTCTGTCCTGCCCCCATGCTGTCCCTTCTCGAAGCCTTGCAGAATATCATTCCTACTTCCTTTTCTGTGGAAGCCTCTCTCCTTCATTCACCTAATGCCAAAAGCTTAAATGACGGACTTCAGTGGATATTGGCCCTCTAAACCAGGGATCTCAAACACGTGGCTCGCGGGGTTATTTTCTGCGGCCCGCCAGCTCCCTGCGGTCCCCCGCCCCCTCCAGCATTCACCTAGAGTGGCTCCGTCCCAGTGCGCACTGGGGGCAGGGCAGGCTGCCTGCCTGCCTGCCCTGCCCCCCGGTGCTGCTCCGGAAAGCAGCCGGGACCTGGGGGAAGGGCGGCACAGGGGTCTGTGTGTTGCCCTGGCTGCACCTCCAGGTACCTCCCCCAAAGCTCCCATTGGCCACGGTTCCCCATTCCCGGCCAATGTGAGCTTCGTGGGAGGTACCTGGAGGGCAGGCGGCATGGGGGCAGGGCTGACAGGCAGGGAGCCTGCCTGGTGGACCCGAACCCCTCCTGCAGCTGAACCCTGAGCCCCCTGCTACACCCCACACCCCTCCTGCACCCTGACCCCCTGCCCTGAGCCCCCTGATGCACCCTGCACCCCTCTTGCTCCCCCTGGGGGCAGGGAAGGGGTGGAGATTTCAGGGAAGGGGTTGGAATGGGGGCAGGGAAGGGATGGGAAGAGGTGGGGCAGGGGTGGGGGCCTCACGGAAGGGGTGGAGTAGGGCAGGGCCAGGGCAGCATGGGGTTGGTCAGTGGTGCGGCCCTAGGGCCACTGTACTAGTCCTCATGTGGCCCTCATGGTTATTTGAGTTTGAGACCTCTGCTCCAAACTATGATGTTAATTTCAAAATGCTTACATCTCTCCTCTCACGTCTAGGAGGAGCCCTCCTGCCCCCATCCTGATAACCTGGCTCACATCTCTTTTCAGCAAAACTCCCCTCCCCATTGAGAAGGGGGATCATCCAGCTTCCTTAGATGCTGCTACGGAGCAGTAGATCTTGCCTTTATCATGGAAACTAGAAGCAGGACTGTGCTGGCCTTACGTGACTGCCTGCCCTCAATTCAAACCTGCCTTCCCTGCTGCTTGGTGCAATGGACTTCCTGTAGGCCACTGTGGGGACCCACAAGACGTGTTCTGTGTCAGCTGCTTTCGGGTTAAAGCTTGCTCAGAAATAAGAGCAGGCCCAGGAGAGGACACAGTGTGGAGGAGGGTGGTGAGAAACCTGTTTCCTTCCCCCCTCCCCCCAACACTGCTTATCTGAAGGGGGCCTTTTCTGAATGAGAAGGAAATCACTTGGGCCTCCAGGACGGGAGAGGTTGTTGTAAACTAACTGCAGGTGAGAGAGAAGTAGGTGCCTTGCTGACTAAGGAAGGAGAAAAGTAGCTTGAAGGACTGCTGGAACCTGAGCTCCCCAGTGCTGAGAGCAGTGCTGCCTGATCATTCTAGTAGGTACTTTCCGTGGCTGTACAAC